CAGATATGGACCCGTGAAGATCCGGGTTAGAATTGATCTTCAGTAACCCATGCTTGTTGTAAGAGGCGACTAACGGGATCGGGTGGTCAGGCTCGCTGACTTGGTTGACACATGTCATCGGTTCCCAATTGCGCAGATCGATGCTCATGCTGTTGATCACTGGATTGTCTGGTCCCGACTCGATTATTTACAGACCGCCACCATATAGCTGGCATATTGCTGAGTGCGGTGTAAAGCTCAACTCACTCACTCAAGCCAGATATGTGAATTTAGTTGTGTACTCCTCAGAATTATTGAATGGCCACTATGATCCCTTCTGATAGAGGCTGCTCATTCACTACAGGGTAGGGGTGGGTGGTCAGTTGGTGTTGGAGCTGAATCTTATTTTGTCGAAACACACACACTGAACCCCCACCCGTTGTATCTAAAATTTTCTCATGACAACCACCATATGGTAGTGACAGATTTTGGCACCCCACCCCATCCCCCATCCTCCTTTCTTTCACTGTTATTTCTCTTGACCTCCAACCTCCCTTGACAATCACTCCATGATAAATTACCAGTCGCTGGTTGAGATGTATAGTTGAATATTTCAATATTTTCAAATGTATGTTTTAAGTACAGGTTTCATTTTGTGTGTAGACTATAATTGAGGATGATGACAAAATACCTTACCTCCGTGTCAGAACACCCCATACATTATAAGCATGAAGTAAATTATCAAATGATCAGTACATTGTCATATGCTCATCAGGAATTTCAAATTGATTGTATTGTATAGCTTCTCACATGTGTAAAACTGTTAGAAGAATCATAAATGGCATTTACTTTATAATGGTCATACCATGCAATGTTGGTATCTACTGCATCTTATTAGGGAGCGATCCTTATACCTGTAGCAGGTTTTGAGGTAGTCTTGTGGCTGAACTGTTATATGTTTGCTCGCCCTGCCAAGGAGTGGGTTTATTTACCCAAATACATGTAGTTGAAGCCCATCTCTTGGAAGTTGTATAAAGTGACGTAAGATGGTGAAGGGATAACAATACATGTGGAAATATTGTGCTATTCATCAGTAAGATATCCATGTGGAATATCTCTGTTAGTATGGTTTTCTTTATATTAAAGAAGATCCTGAGTTTTGTCCATATTGGTACAGCATCACTTATTTTGTACATTTTGATTTCTCTTGTTTTGTGTCAAGGCATAGGTGCCCAAGTTATCAGGTCCCCATTTTACAAAGCGATCATAGTGCTACGATGATTGTAGCTCCTATACTTTAACATAGAGTTACGACAGTCATAGTGCTAAGATCGCTTTGTGTAACAGGGCCCAGGGCCTCATTCCTCAAAGCGATCATAGTGCTACGACTATTGTAGCTCCTATACTTTAACATAGAGTTACGACAGTCATGGTGCTAAGATCGCTTTGTGTAACAGGGCCCAGGGCCTCATTCCTCAAAGCGATCATAGTGCTACGACTATTGTAGCTACCTAGTCTTTAAGAACATAGGGAGTTCACGACAGTCATAGTGCTAAAGATCATAGTGCTTTGTGTCATCTACTTTAACATGTAACAGGGCCCAGGGCCTCATTCATAGTGCTCAGCTATATCATAGTGCTAACGCCCACTATTGTAGTCACATACTTTAACATAGAGTTACGACAGTCATAGCGCTTTGTGAAACAGGGCCCAGGACTGCTGTAATCCAGTATGGAGAAGTTACCATGCCACATTACACTGGTCCTGGGTTTGAATCCAAGCATTTCTTCCTTGGTTTGTTAACATTTGTGGCTTTGCCCCTGATGATGGATTCGACTAACGTTGTGAACATCTGCATGGTAGGTCAAGCTGTCTAAGCTGAGGTCATTGGTTCAAAACCGAGATCCAAGGTTTTTTGTCAAGGTTTGATAGGATGAGACATGTTCTCAGAGGTTTCACCAAAGTGATAAATGTCTCAGACCTGCATCACTTTGGGTGTAACTCCATCAATAGGTCTACATGCTGTTGATACTGACAACAGAAAATGTGGTGTTAAACTCATTCGCTCATCGATTGCTTCTGTACATTATGCTTTGTTTCCCATTCTCTACTGGCAGTTAATAAATGTTTCTGTCTTGTGGAATGTGTTTTGTTCCAAAGATAACAGTTCCTTGTTTATGCCTTCATATACCATGTTATGGTATTTCAGAAAGCTTAACAAAAACGGAAAAGATACTTCTCAGGTACTCTTCAGTGATAATAGGAAAGCCTTGACTTATCAGAAGATATTTTCTTCTTATAGCTTTGTATAAGGCTGCTAGCCTGTTCTGCACACTTTAAACATCACTGTTCATGTAGACACTTGTGGCTGACATTGCTGAGTGTCACAGTTGTAACCTGTATTACTGACCGGGCAGGACATGTTGAGGCTTTAACACCTGGTGTCATCACAGATTTTCAGTGATCCATTCATACACTTTTCACCACTGTATTGCCTTTAATCCCCAATGGAATCTATACTGAGGGAAACAAATAAGGGAACACCACTTTTTGGCAGTGTTCCTTTATTTATTCTCAGATTTCCTCCCACAGCCCTGTTCAAAGCTTGTGAATGAAACTGGAAAATATTAAAGGAATACTTGAATTTTCCTGTGTTCCTTTATTTGGTTCTCTCGGTATATTTTGACTCATATTTGTGACAGATTATTCTCTGGCCTTCATGTTTTATAATCAAGTTTGTAATTCCTTTATATCAGTATATATTAGCCTCCAATTTAATTTTCTCGTTTAAAAATATATTTTGTAAATATACCATCAGCAGGAAACATTATTAAATTAATTAAACATAAATGCATTGGAAAAAAGCATATTTTTAGTCACAGCATTGTGATTTTGTTAAATTTTCAAACATTGAAGGTTAAAACAAGAAAGTGAATATGCCTGAAAGTATAAACATTTGAAATTTTCTACGTCACAATTGTTAAGTTTGGTAAAGTGTTGAACGCCATTATTCAGTGATAGGCTGCTTGGTAGCATAGTGGTCCAAGTGTTTGATTCTTCACATAACTACAGGCTAGTATCTGTTCGTGTCCTCTTGTTTAAATAATTCATCAGTTATGAAATCAATGCCTTGTCATTTTTCTGATCACGTTTGTTGTGTCTTCAAAAATGTTACAATGAAATTAACCTCTGACCATTGAAATTTGTTTTATGCAAATTGACCCTGTGTATACACTCTGTCTTATTGAAGTTTGTTGTGACTAAATCATTCCAAGTCTCTGTTGGCAGCCCGGTTATCTCTCTTGTATTTCCTCCATCTCTGTGGTTTCAGCATCATCCTGATTTGAACTGGAAAGAAGGGTCTGACCAATTCTCTCTCTCTCTCTCTCTCTCTCTCTCTCTCTCTCTCTCTCTCTCTCTCTCTTATGGCAGTTTTGGTGACTGGTGTTGATCAACACAAGCTGCATGTCAGGTCATTGGTCTGTAATATCTAAAGCCAATTGAACTTCATGGAATTCTCTTTGTAAGATTTGGTATGGTTCATAATGGTTTAAAATCTTCATTTAGACAGAAGGAATGCTTGCAAACAGAATATGAATGAAGCATCTTTTGTTTGGTGTGAAAGTTTGAAAGATTTCCCTGATGCAGGTCTTGGGTTTTTCAGCACCATTTTGTTTTATTTTGGCCCTGAGGCTTTTGATGCACTTATGTACTGAGTGAGTGAGTGAGTTTAGTTTACGCAGCACTCAGCAATATTCCAGCTATATGGCGGCCTAATGTACTGAGAAAAAGTGCACTACCCAATGCTTTTCACATTTTAGGATGACCCTCCTCAAGTCCTTTACATTTTTCCATGACTCTCCCTGAAAAGACAAAATACAAAAGCTCTTTATTTTAAAATCTCCTCTTCTTTGATGATCCTCCCCAAATATGTGTATGGTTTTTTCAGACCCGTTCCTCACAGGTTAAGATGACATGTATACTATTGAGGGCTGTTTAGGCTTAGTACACCCAAATTGCTGACTGATGATAAATCAGATATGTTTTGTAACCATGGTGATAATGGAATATTTGCTTAGTTCCTTTAATGTAAAGACTAGTTCTTTCGATGTATAAATAATTTCACCATAAATAATATATTTTGGATGAGCAATCTCATGTTCCTGTTCATAGGGTGGATCAATGTTACTGTTGAATCTGTTGTTTTGTGTTTACTTATTTACATGTTCTGTTACCATGGTTACATACAGGAATGTGGCACCACTAATTGTGATTATGGCATCATTATTGAAACAGATATGATTGTAATAGGGATCTGGGTGCCATTGTACAAAACAACCTTAGCGCTAAGGCTACCTTAAGTCTATGTTAAAGTATGGGAGTTATAGTCACCTTAGCGCTAAGATCGCTTTGTACAACGGCACCCAGATGCTTAAGCTCAGTGTTTTGATTGGTTGCATGTCATCGCATCTCAATCGTGTGGATTGATGCTCATAACGTCAATCACTGGATTCTCTTACTCATACCTGATTATTTACAGACTGCCATAGATAATATTGCTGAGTGGGCATTATCAACAAACAAGAAAACCGTGATTATAGTAATACTTCGTCTCTATTGAATTGAAAGATCTGGTAAATTCCTACATGCAGAAGTATTTTATTTTTGACATTTTCAGAAAACACAAGATCTTGATGACACAAGTATCCAGTTATTTTTTTATCTCTTTGTCACTGAGCAATGGTTGAAAACTGCCTATGCAGCACTAAACTAATCTATCAGTGTCTCTCACTCATGCTAAGATGGCCTTCTGTAATAATAGTGTAGTCAAATGTCATGTCCTTTTGAATTTAAGCATCCAAGAGATTGATGTTTAGAGACTGAGATCATCATCCAATTGTCTTGGAATCTTGCCAGTATATTTTCACTGTGTTATCATGTCCAATAAATGTACATACATTCTTTAATTCCTACACATTGTCAAATCCTGTTTTGTCTAAACTGTTTTGAATGTAGTCAAAACTCCCTGACAGATTGATTGAAAAAGCCGAACAATGCAAGTCTAGGGCCAAAACAATTGTGGCTTTAGATTTTCGTAAAAAATGTCAATATTAAACATAAGAACTGAACTTTGTCTTTTCATACAGTTGTGTTAGTTTTGTATTTGATTGGTGTAACATGGTAGGATCAGTGCTAGCATTTCCCATAAGTCTTCTCTATAATCATTGAAAAGTAAAATGACTGGAAGTGTTCCTTTGGCTATTTTCATTTGGTGCTGCAATTTGCTGAGTTGCCTCCCTTAGATGTGTCAGGAAGCTAAGGTCAGTGCTGTGGATATGGTTTGCCCTGAAGGTTTCCAGTAATTTCAGCACCATACCTGTTGGATTCACCAAAGTGGTAAATGTCTCAGACCTTGATAACTTTGGGTTTTCACCTGATGCCATGATATAACTGCAACACTGTTCAAAGCTTAGTTGAACCAAACTCACTCACTCAATCACATATCTCCCTTATTTGTGTTTAGTCATATCTAGATATAAATGATACAACAAGATTTCAGATTACCATAGTGCTTTTATTGCTTACGAGTATTGAACCTATTTGTTGTCTGTTTCCTGAGTTTGGATGTACATTGTATCATATTTAAGCAGGAAGATGTAATTTTGTACATAGTATGTGTTTGCAATTCTGATATGCATATAACAAAGAGACCTGTTAGATTGTTCTTTCCTCATTGCAACATTCGTCTGGACATACATTGTATTGTAGTGTGTGTGTATCCAACATAAACTGTATCATAGTGTTAGTGTATGCATAGTGTATTACCTGAAACACGTCTCCTCATTGTACTATTACTAAGCTGCTAGGTAAATGTTTCATTACCTGAGACATGTCTCCAAAGTATGCTGTTACTGAGCTGCTTGGTAAATGTTTCATTACTAAGCTGCTAGGTAAATGTTTCATTACCTGAGACATGTCTCCAAATTGTGCTGTTACTGAGCTGCTTGGTAAATGTTTCATTACTAAGCTGCTAGGTAAATGTTTCATTACCTGAGACATGTCTCCTCATTGTACTGTTACTGAGCTGCTTGGTAAATGTTTCATTACCTGAGACACGTCTCCTCATTGTACTGTTACTAAGCTGCTTGGTAAATGTTTCATTACCTGAGAAGCTGCTAGGTAAATGTTTCATTACCTGAGACATGTCTCCTCATTGTACTGTTACTGAGCTGCTAGGTAAATGTTTCATTACCTGAGACACGTCTCCTCATTGTACTGTTACTGAGCTGCTAGGTAAATGTTTCATTACCTGAGACATGTCTCCAAAGTATGCTGTAACTGAGCTGCTTGGTAAATGTTTCGTTACTAAGCTGCTAGGTAAATGTTTCATTACCTGAGACATGTCTCCAAAGTATGCTGTAACTGAGCTGCTTGGTAAATGTTTCATTATTAAGCTGCTAGGTAAATGTTTCATTACCTGAGACACGTCTCCTCATTGTACTGTTACTAAGCTGCTAGGTAATCTTTTCATTACTAAGGTGCTTGGTAAATGTTTCATTACCTGAGACATGTCTCCTCATTGTACTGTTCCTGAGCTGCTAGGTAAATGTTTCATTACCTGAGACATGTCTCCTTATTGTACTGTTACTGAACTGCCAGTTAAATGTTTCATTACCTGGATGTATGATCAACCAGATTACCAACCCCATCTCAGTATGTGCATGTTCAAGTTTGTATATACTCCATTCTACTGAGCAACTGAGAAGCCTGTACTAATCTAGGTGAGCTTTAGCCTACCTTCATATTATTGGTTATGTACATTTCAGGTAAACACTGTCTGTATTTACCTTATCTTCATATTGGTTATGTACATTTCAGGTAAACACTGTCTGTATTTACCTTACCTTCATATTGGTTATGTACATTTCAGGTAAACACTGTCTGTATTTACCTTATCTTCATATTGGTTATGTACATTTCAGGTAAACACTGTCTGTATTAACCCTCCCTTCATATTGGTTATGTACATTTCAGGTAAACACTGTCTGTATTAACCCTCCCTTCAAATTGGTTATGTACATTTCAGGTAAGCGCAGTCTGTACTTAACCTACCTGAATATTGCCAGAATTTGAAAGTATGTGTATTTTAGTTTAACATTAGTAAGCACTGTTTGTTAATTTGCTTACCTGATTATGTGGATTTTTTAAAGTCAGTACATTCTACAAAGCAGCTATGAAGTATTCACACAATGCATTGATAAACTTCTTTCAGCTTTGGGTACCCGAGTTGTCAGCATATTTTTAGAACACATTTACCTTACTTGTTCATTTATACAAGAAGTTGGTGCCAAAACACATGTATTCCATGATAACCAAGAATGGTCACTCTTGCAGATAAACCCCTGATTCCTCTGTGTGAACTGTTCATACCCCGGGACAGTTACCATGCCCCAGATGACTAGTGTACATAGCAATAAATTATGAAACATTTGTATACATAGGGCATAATTTCTATTGCCTGTAAAGACTCATTGTATATAGAGCATGTATCCCATCATCAAGATATTCATATTTTCAAACTGAATCTTTCTAGTTTTTCACATTATGTACTTTTATGAGTGAGTTATACTCAACATACTGAGTATTGTTGGGACTTTTTATTGACATGTTTGATAACAAATGGTTATGCAAGTGTTGTGTTCAAATAAAAACTTTCAACAATGACACTAATGTTGTTTGTCTTGCTAACATAATCAAACCACCTCAGTCCACACTAACTTAACACTCCTGAAGGGTTAGGTCAGGGATTTACCTCGAGTCCTGTATTTGAGGGTCCCTGGGACTCGTACTCTTAATTTTCAGGGGTCCTGGACTACAAAATGGGGTTCCCAGACATTTAAATATTATTATTAATACTGTTATTGTATTGTGTATCGTGATCATCACAGTAATTAAACTGCAAATGATAACCCAGCTAGTAGCAAACTCAGTGATAACTTATTGTTACTAAATTGGAATTTTTACAAAAAGGATTTGGACGTTTTCTGCATCCCTGTGGATGCGCTAATAAACTTCATTGCGTCCATTGTCAATTTTTATGGTATAGGATGCAGGAATTCGCGTCCTGTAAATCCCTGGTTAGGTCCAGTCAGTTCATGGTACACCGACACACAATCAGCCTGGTAACACACATTGTAATCATTGTTCAGGGGATGGTTCTTCAGAGAAACCACCTGGGGTTTCCTTGTGGAAGAAATATGCTTATTTACTTGTTCGAAAGACTTTGTTCCACTACTTCCAATGTTTCTATCTTGTCGAATACTTAGCAACGTTTCATATTAAGCAGTATTCGTACTGAAGCAACAGAAAGATTAAAAGCAGATAAATAGACTGAAAAACACCACTTAAAAGAGACAAAGACAATGCCTTGGAAACTGCCTGCTCTTGTAGTTATATATATTTAAGTCCGAAAAGGAGCAGTTCGTGTGGAAGGCGTCTAACGGGATCGGGTGGTTTGGTTCGTTGTCTTGGTTTATGCATATAATCGTATCATCGGTGCTGAATAGATCCGTCATTGGATTGTCAGATCCAGACTTGGCCGTATACAGACCGCCGTCATATAGCTGGAATATCCGGATTGGATTGTCAGATCATCACTTGGTAGTCTTATTCAAGAATACCGCCGTCATATACCTAGCTGGAATATCCGTCATTGGATTGTCAGATCCAGACTTGGCCATTTAAATTGACCGCCGTCATATACCAGAGAATCATCCGAAATTGGATTGTCAGATCCAGACTTGGCCAGAGACAGACTTGGCCGCCGTCATATAGCTGGAATATCCGTCATTGGATTGTCAGATCCAGACTTGGCCGTATACAGACCGCCGTCATATAGCTGGAATATCCGTCATTGGATTGTCAGATCCAGACTTGGCCGTATACAGACCGCCGTCATATAGCTGGAATATCCGTCCTTGGATTGTCAGATCCAGACTTGACCGTATACAGACCGCCGTCATATAGCTGGAATATCCGTCCTTGGATTGTCAGATCCAGACTTGACCGTATACAGACCGCCGTCATATAGCTGGAATATCCGTCCTTGGATTGTCAGATCCAGACTTGGCCGTATACAGACCGCCGTCATATAGCTGGAATATCCGTCATTGGATTGTCATACGGCCAGACTTGGCCGTACACAGACCGCCGTCATATAGCTGGAATATCCGTCATTGGATTGTCAGATCCAGACTTGACCGTATACAGACCGCCGTCATATAGCTGGAATATCCGTCATTGGATTGTCAGATCCAGACTTGACCGTATACAGACCGCCGTCATATAGCTGGAATATCGCGGATGGTGGCGTTTAACAACATCACATGGTAGTCTTATTCAAGAATACAGGCACATAGGGTACCTAGACTAATGCTTAGTCTCTGAATATATATAATTTTGATAGTAACAAACAAGCCCATTTAAATTGAAAAGGAGCCCCAAGGAGACCAGAGATTCAGAGGAAATCTAGACTTGCTTTATTTAGGGCTTGGCAGTAGGGAAAATAATGTGGTTCAGGGACTGTGAGACAGACTAAGAGGGTACCCAACAGCAACATATTAGCGGAGACTGAGAAGGGTATGATATCGTAGCTTTCTAACCGAAGCCAGTCGCATAAATCTCCCTTGTTTGTGTAATGCCGAACACATCAACACTGATGTTCTGAGCATCCACCAAGGCACCTGAGATACGATGACATGCGTCAAGCCGGTCAGTTGGTCTGACCACTCGATCCCGTTAGTCACCTCAATAAGCGTGCATAGGTGAAAACCAGTTGTAAGCCATATAGTGAAAACCCTTGCAAAATCATTTCCGATCTTTTGCAACAATCATGCGTTGCTGGAAACCAATTGTAAACCATATAGTGAAAACCCTTGCAAAATCATTTCCGATCTTTTGCAACAAGCATGCGTCGCTGGAAACCAATTGTAAACCATATAGTGAAAACCCTTGCAAAATCATTTCCGATCTTTTGCAACAAGCATGCGTCGCTGGAAACCAATTGTAAACCATATAGTGAAAACCCTTGCAAAATCATTTCCGATCTTTTGCAACAATCATGCGTCGCTGGAAACCAGTTCTAAACCAATCAGCAAGTGTGTCGGAGATGTACACATTACTGTAGTAGAACGTTCGGACATTAATCCAGTCCATTTACAATTGAAATATGATAAGAACACTCAATGAATAATTCTCACAAACAGGATCTAAAGTGCTGTAGTTGAAGACGTATACGTTAAGATGTAATCTGGCTGAAACCCGATACACCACCCAAACACGCACTCAAACACTATGACCCATATCAACTGCCACGCCCACAATCCGTCTATGTACCTGTCTATTTTCCACACGCAGTAAACAAGTTTGACGTAAATGATATTTTATGTCGTACACAGGATATCGAGATGAATTTATTTGAATGAGAAGCAAGTCACTGTGCTCCAGGCAGTGATAACATTTCAATACCAGATGTATGCATCCGGTTCAGATCATGCACACAGTACACGCCTCTAGTTAAATAAATATCCATGCATAATAGTGCATGTAAACAGTAGTGAACACGAATTGTTTTAAAGTTTAAATGCCTAAACTTATGGGAAAGGACAGGGAAAATGCAAGAAATATCGGCCTCGTCTCTTTGTGAAAGTGACGGTGACCGACGTATTTACATATATCTCTTTTAATATTATCTGTTTGTACGATTGCAATATCCAAATTGGTTTGTGTCACCACGAACAGTACTTCACTGATATCACATGGAGTGAGTGAGTGAGTTTATTTTTACACCGCACGCAGCAATATTTCAGCTGTATGGCGGTGGTCTGTAAATAATCGAGTCTGGACCAGACAATCCAGTGATCGACATCAAGAGCATCGATCTACACAATTGGGATATGATGGCATGTGTCAAGCAAGTCAGCGAGCCTGACCACCCAATCCCGTTAGTCGCTTCTTACGAAACCCAGGGCCCTTATTCTCGAAAGTTCATAGCTCAAAGAATTCTTAACTTTGATTGTAGGCAATGTGTTAAGAAACTTTGATTGTAGGGCTACAAACGTAGCTAGCGAGAATAGCCAGCCCGAAGCATAATTTAAGATCTTCACGGGTCCACAACATGGAGAGAGAGAGAGAGAGAGAGAGAGAGAGAGAGAGAGAGAGAGAGAGAGAGAGAGAGAGAGAGAGAGAGAGAGAGAGAGAGAGAGAGAGAGAGAGAGAGAGAGAGAGAGAGAGAGAGAGAGAGAGAGAGAGAGAGAGAGAGAGAGAGAGAGAGAGAGAGAGAGAGAGAGAGAGAGAGAGAGGTAGTGCATAGAGGGATAATTCCGACCTCCACCATGATCAAGCACTTGGTGCTTAGCTTGTGTAACGGCGTAAAGGACGCGACGTTGCTCATGCTATTCATCATTCGTTCTCCCGAAGATGCTCGATGTACAGACGGCCATGGTGTAGCAGAACTGAAACAGATTGAGTCTTGACAGGTGGCTTAAAGGCAACTTTGCTGGAAGCAAGCTCAAATGTTGGTGTTGCATAGGGGGTGAAAGGGCGAACCTTAGAGTAAAAGCGATGGTGGCGAAACGGTGGCTGGCGCAGGCAAACCAGTTCGAGTCTCGGCAGTGGCTCAGAGGCGACTTGGCAGTAGGCAAGCGCAAACGGTGGTGATGTTCTGCTTAGGGGGAGGCAGGACGAAATGGCTGGCGCAGGCAAACCAGTTCGAGTCTTGGCAGTGGCTCAGAGGCGCTAAGGCAAAGTGGTGATGTTCTGCTGGAGGCAGGACGAAATGCTGGCGTGGCATAGGGGGTGAAGTGGCGGCCCCTAGAGGAGAGGCGATGGTGGTGAAATTGTGGCTAGCGCAGGCAAACCAGTTCGAGTCTTGGCAGTGGCACAGAGGCGACTTCGCGGTAACTGTGCATGATTTGCCGTGTCAAATCTTTGCAATTCCCTAAGGTGTGGCATATGGGAATGGAGAGGTCTATTGCTGTAGTGTCTACAGCTATATACGAGGGACAGTCAAAAGGTAGTGAGCCTGACCTAGTAAATGATACAAATGCAGTTGTTTTTATGTTTTATTTTTCTATATATTATTTGTCAACCTCAAGCAAATTGATTTTGCTACGTTCCAACCTTACGATCCCCATTTTGTTTGAAATTTTATCTTGGCACCCCCCAAAAGCGCAAAATCTGCAATAAATGTACCACAAACTTCAGGTAACAAAATATGCAAGAAACATTTTGTGTGTTTGAGATAGGTAGACGTCCGCTATAATCAAACTTAGATATTAAAGTGGATAAAAAAGCAATTTGAAAGTACAATCGCTTGTTAAAGTGATTCCCCTTTCATGTTTGCTGAAACAGCTTGTTTTGGAGACACTACCCGCCCCCGTTCAGACGACGAATTCATAAGGACATAACTTATTCTAATGTTTTCACTTTTTCACACATGATTCTAAAGGTTCAAAGTAAATACTGAATGGTCACACAAAGGTCAACTCTCAGCATATTGTAAACAGGGCCAGCTTGAATATCTGGACACAATGTTTTTGAAAGACTAAAATGGGTGTGTCCTTAAAAAAAACAGCCCTGTCTAAACATAAATCAAGCAATCCAAATCTTTGAATGTTGATTATGACAGGAAGTCATCCAATACTATACTAACATATTTTATATGACA